GGGTGCCTGCACGGGCAGGGGCGGCCTCTTTGGGGGACACCCGCACACCTCCTTCGACAGTCAACTGTGCTCTGCGTCCGACTCAGCGGTCCCACAGCCAGTCGTCAACCCCAGAGCTTCACAGACGCTTGTGAAACAGACAAGCTGGAAAACCCGCTCTCTTTGTTTTTGAGCGGTGAGGAATTAGGGACCCTCAACAGCCCTGAGAAGAACCAACCACGTCCCAGGCCGTGGGGCTGTGTGGACACATCTGGAAGGCAAAGCAAGGCAGGTCTGTACCTGACTTGCAAACATCACCAGGAAACACTGAAAAACAAAGCTGGAGGGTCTGGCAGAGGATGGTCCCTCTTAGGGACAGGCAGCCCCCAACCCAGCTCAGGAATATGTGGGGTGCGCAGGAGACCACAGGGAGTGGTCCACAAACACCCACAGAGCACGATGCTGACCTGCTCAAGAGTTGTGGCTCTTTGACATTTTTCACCATGAGAAAGATCCTTGTATTGCTTGAGAGATTTGAAAAGCCCCCCCACCCAATCCCCCTTTGCGATCCTGTGAGACAGTTCTGAAGCTCCTTCTGCACCAAGTCCCTGCATCACACGCAAGGGGAAGCGGGTGGTGCTTAGGGGGTTGGGGTGTTTAGGGCAGCCAGCACTCCTTCTGCAGACTCCTGGGTGCAAAAGTTGGGGCGACGGAACCCCACTGAGTAGATCCAGTGGTCAGGTGCTCAGGACACCCTTTGCTCAGGATACCCTTTACCCCCCCCCCCAGGAGCAGATACCAAGCCTGGGGTCACACACCCCTGCCCTGGGTGTCCCTGTCCCTGGAGGCACTCAAACAAATACACCAAATTCCATGAGCCCAGAGGGACAGCTTTCAGACGTGTGGCTGGAAATGAATGCAAATTGGGGCTACAAAGGTTTTCTGTCAAACGCTTCCACAAATGTAGAATCAATTACCATTTGATGCACCAGACGCTGAAAACACTTGCTTGGGAGCCCTGCACAGTAAGCCATGATTAACAATGGCCAAATCCTTTTAACTGGACATTAATGCTGTCACCCTGAATGACTGTTGATCTGCCGTGGCTGCCCCTCAGGGACCCTGCTCCTCCGCGGTGCTGCCTCCGGAACCCTAGAAGTCTATAGGGACGACCAGGTGTGGCCACACCCTTCCCCCAGGGGCTGCCTGGCTGCTGTCCTGGGCTGACTGTCTCCCTTTTCCCTTCATCTCCAACATTCGCCCTGAACCCCACTTGCCCAGCACCCCACAGCACTCATCTACCCACTGTCATCCCTTAGTTCAGTGTGTGTGTGGCTCTGTCTGCAAATGTCCCACTATCTCGACCGTGCTGCATGATGAACATTCTTAAAGACAAAGGCAGCGGGGATGACGTCACTCACGATCGAGGGACGAGGGACCCCAGTTCCCAGCCCGAAGGCAGCTGCTTTCCCCAGACGCCCTGTGCACAGCCACCTTCAGCCCCGGCGGCCCAGGGCCCTCTGTTTTCCAGCTGGAGCCCCACCCCCCTTTCCATGGCTTTGCAGGGGACACAGCCCATGCGGTTCCTGCCCCCCAGCCCCAGCAGCTTGCTTCTGGATGTCCCCACCCCACCCTGCACGGAGGGGCTGCTTTTTGAAACCAGAATCACAGCCCAGGTCTTGGCAAGAACAAATGGTCCTTGAGGAGCAAGAGTCAGCTTGCCCTGTGCCCTCAGCTGCTCCGCCGAGCCCTACTGACTGATGGTGCTTCAGAAGTCTGGACCAGGTCTTCTCGCCTGAGGCCGGCAGGGTTTGTCGTGGTGACAGTCAGTAACTGGTTCTGAGGGAGACAAGTGGCTCCCTCACGGGGCCCTGCACTGAGGGCTGGTGTCTTCAGGCACAGACTCCTGTTATCTCTCGCCCTGGGGAGGCCAGGGGAGTCTCTAAAGTCTATAATGAAATAGAGGCTAAGTAGGTAAATCGCTCGCAGACCCTAAAAGTACAGAGTAAAAGCGACCACACCTTCACCTCGAGGCCCTGTGCACAGCGGCCTTATCTGCAGCCACCCAGCCCACTGCAGCCCTGAGCTGAGCCCCCACCTCAGCTGAGTTCCAGGCCCAGCCCGAGCACCCGCCTGAGCTGAGCCCTGGCCTGGGCCCCGGCCCGAGCACCCGCCTGAGCTGAGCCCCGGCCCCAGCCCGAGCACCTGCCTGAGCTGAGCCCCGGCCCCTGAGCTGCGCCGGGAAACTGCAAGCGCAGAGGAAGGCCCCACCCAGGGCCTCCCAGGCCGGAGACCAACACCGAGCTGTCTGAAGAAAGGCCACGCCACACCGCTGTAGGAACTGCCCTGGACAGCAATGGCATCAACCAAGTCCACTTGTCGCTCCCTGGCCATGACAGCCTGGTCCTCAAACAGACAGAACCTCAGTTCTTCTTTTGATCAGGGCAGTGGTTTTGCTCACCCTTGACACTGTCCCCTCAGTGGATTTTTCTGAAAACCTGATGTCCCGGGGGGAGCTCAGAGCCCAGTGAGACAGTACCAGGCAGCCCCCGGAGATGCAGGGTAGGTCTCAGCGCTCTAGCTGTCTCCCGCCACTGCGGGAAGAGCTCGATCCCCGCCGGGGTGACCCCCAGGGCGCAGCAGACCTCTCCTGTCTCCCCGCTGCTCCCTCAGCAGTGCATTTCAGTGGATCTGCCCATTCTGCTCCCCACTCTGTACCTGGTGACTCCTCTCACCCCTAGCCCCCCATACCTCGGGTCTGCACCCCAGGTCTTCTATGCATAAATAAATCATATAACTAAAAAAAAGTGCCACGAGGGAGGAGGGTGGTCCAGGGCCCGCGCCTGTGGGCTGTGCAGGGCCGAGGTGCAGACCAGCGGCCCACAAGGAGCCTTTGTGATGTGCCTCCCAGCCCCTCCCTGCTCTGTCCTGGGCTCCCTGCAGCTCTGTCACCCCGCCGTCGGGCTGGTCACAGCAGCGGCCGGGCTGGGCCTCGCTGCTGGGTCTTCACGTTGGCTGCTGACTTCTCCGGTCCGCCCACGGCTGTTGCTGGCACGCTGGTCAGGCACCCCTGGACCTGGTCAGGCACCCCTGGACCTGGTCAGGCACCCCTGGACCTGGTCAGGCACCCTTGGACCCAGTTTGGTCACGACGCTCTCACTCCATCACTGACATTGGTTTTTGCAGATTTAGTCACAATCCAGTACATCCAGGGTGAGAAACCTTGGCCTGTGCCCTTGTTCCTCATTAAAATATTTTTATGTCATCATCGGGGGTCAGAGTCGAGGCCGTGGAAAAGCTTAAATAGGCAATTTTCTTGCCATCTCCAGTGGCCACTTGCAAGGGTCCCACCGGACTCCAACCCCTATCTTAACTCGCCGGAAGTGCTCCTCTGGCTGGAGGCGTGGGCCCGGGACGGAGTCTTGCTCACACAGACGGGAGGGCTGGAGAGGACAGGCCGTGGGCAGCACTGTCCGTCACAGGCCATGGAAACATCACAAGCAAGGGTCACGTCCTCACGAGAGCCTCCCGGGTCTCAGGCTCGTAGGGAGGCAGCTGGCACCTCCGTCCCAACAGGCGGGTGAACACGGAGACCGGTGCCGTCCCCGGCCACGGAGTCCTCCTGACATTACTACGGCCATGTGCTTCTCAGGCCGCCCCTCGGAAGCTTCCACCCAGCCATCCCGCGCCACCCCAAACCACACGGGCATCCAGAGGAAGGCAGCAGAGCCGAATACACCAGTAGATCCAGGCTTACCTAGCAAACACACGTTATCGCTCATACTCAAAACTTCCTATTTCCCCTACACACACCACAAGCCAGTGAGCACCAAGACTCTTCTGGGGTACCAAGCCATGATCCTTCACCAGAACTCAGCACCTCTTCACAGACGCATGCAAGAAAGACGTTCTTCCGCAAGCATGTATCCAACAGAAATCACCGTCACAAGAGTCTCTCTGGGGGTCACCCCTCGAACGGGGGGGAGGGCTACTGGCACGTGAAACCTGGGTGTGCTTCATCACCGCGAAAGCCCACCCACTTTTGAGTAGGGGACACCCATGTTCCTGAACGCCCTGCCACGGCCAGAGGAATGGAGGGGCCAGCAGGGTCTTGCACAGCCACCCAGCCACGCCAGCACCCCGTGGCCCTCCTCCTGCCTCGTGACTCACAGAGAACACGCCCTGGCCCGCCAGCACAGACACAAGAAGACACTCGGCATCACGTGAGCGCACAGAAAGGGCACCGTTTGCTCCTCCATCTACCTCGGAGACACCATGGCTACCACCATCGCCGCCCCTCACCCCACCCCGGGGCACACACTGGTTTATTTCAGTAACTGCCTCGTGTGTCCCTTCACTCCAGCAACTGTCTACCACAAGGTAGGTGCCCCAGGGAGGAAGGAGGCATTCAGGCCCCGTCCATCTGCTGAGATGACAGGAAAGAGAGGGGCCCAGCCTGTGGACCTGCGGGGGGCAGGAGTGGGAGCCGGGGCCCCTTTTCTGCCAGGAGCCCCCAACACCGCGGGGTGTGTGTGCTGTCTGGCAGGATGGGGGTCCCAGGACTGAGGAGGACCAGCGTTCGTCCCTGCAGAGTCACAAAGAGATGTTCCGTTCTGGAAATAAATCTGTCATCCACGCTGCCCAAAGGAGCCACACCCCCAGACAGAACCTACACCGAGGGCCAGTCTGTCTGCCAAGAAAAGGACTCCCCAGGGGCACCCCTAAATACACTGCAGGGACCTGCGATGACAGGGAAGCCGGCTGGACCCCAGCTTTCCCCTCAGACCAGCCGGGTTTCACACAGTCCGTGCTCTCTGGGCGTGGCAAGCATCCCCACGGGCTTTTCCAACCAAAAAGCACCCCAATTTCAATAGGGCTAAAGGAGCCTCGGTGGGGTCCACCATTTAGGCTAGTGGATACCAGGGAGTCCCTGAGATGCTTTCCAGAATATAAAGAATATGATGTCTGAGAAGAAAGGGGTCACGTCCCACGCCCGCGAGCTGGGGTACCACAAAGGATATCTCGCAGGACTGTCCTTAAGGGCATTTAGGAATCCTGTTTGTTGTGAACCTGTGGGAACAAACCAACATTTAGTATTCAGGCACTCACCTCCCGAGCAGCACCTCCATGCGCAAAGCTCCCTCATCTGCATACAAGAACAGGGGGCTAAAGATCCACTCAATAGTTACATTTTGTGTGTGGTAACCGCCCCCGTATGCAGATCAGGGGCTGAGATTCCACTAACGTCAGTCTAGGGGAGAACGGCAGGTTCGTAATTAGACCCGACATCTGCAGGCTCGTTCCATGCAGGCAGGTGGGTGCCGCCGCCTTTCCCGTAAATTATAGTTCTGATCCCGCTTTTGTTTTCCTGGTGTTAATGGGAAAACAGAACACGCGAGCCGCTTTATCCTCCTCTTCTGTGAAAGACCGCTTCCCCAAAGTTGTTAACCTCTGGCCAGGAAGGCTCGGGAGCCAGGCTGCTCCCGGATAAGCACTCTCGGATCGTGTGTGCAGAGTCGGGTGTACGGCATTTCAGCAGGAACGTGGGTACTTCAACGTGCCCTGGGACGCCCACGTGCAGGCACACCTGCCGAGAGGCCGTTTTGGCTTGTGTGCTGGCATTTTGCGCTTTACGACTAAAAGCCTGCTCTGGAGGACCCTTGAGGGGCCCGTCTCGGGCCCTCGTGGGACTTCACGACGCCCTGAGCTTTGGGGAGCAAGGGGAGGGACAGGGAGAAGCGGCCGGCGAGGCCGAGTGTCCCCGTGTGTGTGCTGTGGGGGCGGCTGGGCCCAGGGCGGTGGAGGACAGCCAGCTGGACGGCTTCGCCTTCAGCCCGCCAGGCCGCGGGCGAGACTGCACGCCTGAGCGCTGACGTCTGGGGGGAGCGGCGTGCCCAGAGCAATGACTTCTCCGTCCTCTGACGTCTCCCAGACACACGACCTCGCAGAGGACGCCCCTCCCTGGGGGCTTGACAGCAGGACCCTCGCCCTGAGCCCTCCCTGGCCCTGTGCTCTCCCCTCTCAGGGCCTGGGGAGCCTGGCAGCGAGGAGGTGGGGACGGTTCCTGCTGCCTTCAAACCACTGACTTGGCCAATGTTTTGGAGTTTTAGGGGGATATTGGGAACCTGGTAAAAACCTCCCTGAAGGCATCCCGTGCCAGCTCAGATAGGGCTGGTGAGCTGGCCCGTGGGGCGCAGGACATGGAGGAGGGTTGTTTGCAGGCAGCTAAGTCCTGCATGCTCTTTTGCAGAAGACAGCACTAGCCAGTGGATGAACGGCTGACGCCATTTTTTCGGAGGAGATGAAAGTGTTTTCATCCCAGCGGGGTGGCGGCTGTGCGTGTGCCTGTGTGTGTCTGTGTAGATGTGTGGGTCTCTGTGTATGTGTGTGTGACTGTGTGTGTCTCTCTGTGTGGCTGTATGTGTGACTGTGTGTGGGTGTGACTGTGTCTGTGTGTCTATTTGTACATG